TAAGGCTTAGTTTGGTTTGGTTTGGTTTGGTATGTTATGACTTTTGATGATGTGAAGATCCCTCATGGTGAGTAACAGGTTCTTCAAGAGGTGTGGAAGAGAAAAGAGAAGAAGAAAAATAGAGAGGTGAGTGATGGCCTGTAAAGAGTGTGGAAAGAAAAAAGAGTAGAGAAAGAAGAAAAATATATAGGAATGTGATGGTCTATAGAGAAAGATAGAGTAGAGAGAGAAGATCAGAATGTAAAGCAGAGACCGTGAATCATAGTGATCAATTGATGGGTGAAATGAACACCAGTGAAAGTAGGGAAGATTTTTTGATAATACAAACATTTTTATTTGAAGGATAAATATTAAAAAATTATATTTTTCTTTAGTGGCAAATCAATTCAATGCCAAAACTTGAATTATTGGCTAAAGTAGTAGAGCACACCACTTTTGGGTCTCTTTTGGGATCGTATGACAAGTGTAGGTGTGGAGTAATGTTTTAAGACCACCAAATAATTTCTTGTAAAGATGTCGTTTTGTATAAATATGTGTGGCACCATCATTTTTATTTGTGGCATTATCGCCAAAATATATTTTTTTCTTCATGAAAATGTCTATTTAATGACACTCCCATCCGATTGCGGCTCCTTTTTAGTAAATGGGTTAAACGAATTGAGTTGAATTAGGTTCAAGTTGAATAAAAGAACACAATGAATAAAAATACAAATAACATTCGGTGATGGTGGTGGAGTTGCGGCGGTTATGGTAGAGTGGTGGTGCTAATCAATTGTTGGCCCATAGTTTTCTTCTAGGAGCTCTTTATCTTGGTCGTTAGATAACTTACAAAGTGGGAAGAAGAGAGCAAGCATAGAAACTATGACAATCACAAATGGCGAGATATATTGGGTTTGCAAATTTTCTGTTTGGAGAGACAAAATAATCCAATGACATGATAATTCTGAACTTCTTCATCTGTATTTGTTCTGTCAACATTTCTCTTTTGATGCTTGGGTGGAATATTTGGATGCATTTGTTTCTATATTTATGGTGTGATAGCATTGTGAAAAATTCAAATTATATTTCATTCAATTTTTTCTTCACATATTTCCTCTATAAATTCAAGATCCAAACACAAATTATTGTAAATTGTACCTTTAAAAAAAAATCGGGTGAAATCATTGTCCTTATAAAATGTTATGTTGAATTTCCCTCCCTTTTTAAACTATTTTTCTGTCTTTATAGTTAAAATTCTCTGGCAAATCTTTATTCACATAATATTCAAGTTATCTTTTCTGTCCGTGTTGTCTTGATCTTTTTTTTTTTTTTTTATTAAAATTATTATTAAGGCAAGCTTTGGTTGAGATGCTTGATTGCGCCATTCCAAACTGAAACGATTTAGGTATTCATCATTTCATTATGATTGAAATATACCAATGAGGCAATAAGATAGTTTGGCCAATTGTTCTATTGAAAGAAAGAGTACTTATGTTTTTGATTTGGATCATTGAAATAAGATGAAATGGAATGGAATGGTGATTCCTTAGACTTTCTCATGGAATAACCATGCCCTTAAAATGGTGAAAGAGTATTCCATTTGTAATGTATTTGTCATTATATGTTGTCTAATCAAACATGGGAATGAAATACTTTGATGGAATAAAAGACTACCTTAAATGATCATTCCATCAAATCAAAGTATTTCATTGATAGCAGTTCTCTTAATTGATAGTAGGGCACTGGTGGGTGTGCCAATTTGTTTGTTTCCTTTTTATTGATAGCAGGGCACTAGGCAACGTGCCAATTTATTTGTTTGCTTGCTTTTAAATGGTAGCAAGGCATTGGCAGGTGTGCCAATTTATTTGATTGCTTTCAATTGATAGTAGGGCACTGGTAGGTGTTCTATTTTATTTGTTTTGTTTGCTTTTTTTGGATTTCACAGTACAATGTCAATAATATTTTATGAAGACATTAACAAATACATACAAAAATATCTATAATCGACATTCTATGATTGGACGTAGTTAAGTTTTGGATAATTCATTGCTAAAACAAAACATAAGTTAAGACAAATCACATAAAGCTCAATATTTCAACTTATTTGACTTTTCTTAGCTTTACAAACAACCAAAATGAGATTTAAATTTGAAGAACATGGATAAACTATTAAAATAAATTGTTCAGGTTGATACATGGATTAAATTTTGCAATTCCACTTTATGTTCTTACATTTAAAAACGCTAATGAGGAAGCACATGCGTTGCATGTCGCATATCAATTGATTTGCATATTGTTGCCTTCATAAAAAATAAAAAAAATAAAAAATAAAAAATCATTAAAAACAAACAAGTCATTAGCAATCTCAACTTTTAATCTTTACAAAAATCTATCATATTCAATTTTAGAGATAGGATTTTAAGCCCAAAATGGGTGTAAATTAGTTACGGTAAGATAATCTACTTGTGACCAAATTGCAAGATCAGTGCAAACTCCACTGCTCATACATTTAGTATTATTCATCACAACTAATTGTGAATTATTACCTATATTTGAATCCTGGGAATACTAGAATTGTTCATAGAATATATACACCACTTGAGTCACCGATGGCTGATTCATAATATTGTGGATAACTCTCATGACAAACAATCTCAAGCATCCATCCATATTGTTTAAAGGCTACCACTTCGTCGATCAATCCCATCACTTCCGTGAAATATATGTTTCTAAAAATTGTAGAAATAGATCCCGATATTGACATTGCTAAGTTACTTCAAATGACTTTTTAAATCGTTCAAGTTTCAAATTATGCACATGAATGAAGTATGCCTAGGCTAGGATATATAACATAATAATGATAATTACATCTAAACAAATCTATTGATAAAAAAACTGATTTAATCATAGAATGAAACAAAATCTAACAAATACGCTAATAATTTTTGATTTTTTGTAATTGAAATTTATTGACCAAAACACCATATCTATTAAAGCATAAAATATTTTGTTTGGTTGCCAATCAATCCTGAACAAGCTAAAAAACAATTAAAATTATCTTCTTCTTTTTTTTCACAGTAACTTACCAAATTCTCAGTAGCAGCTTAACTCATGGGCAAGTGAGGTTCTTGCCTAGGGCTCCACTCAATAATTTTAAAGTAATGTGTTGAGTATATGATTAAGTTTACATCCAAAAAATTAAATTAAGAATGTAAATGTTAGTACAATGAATCCTATAAAATAAATAAGGAAAATGGCGAATGAGAATATTTTTTGTGGGCCCAATTATACTGACATGTATATTCTTAGTAATTAATTAATTAATTATTATTATTTTTTTTATAGTTTAAATCAAATAATCAAAAATTCTAATATTGATTGTTTAAATTTGCATAATGAAGTAGCATTCCCATAAGACAAAGGGAAAAATAAAGAGGAAAGGCTGTTAAATAACATGGCTTTTTTCAATGAGAAACCTGTGTAACAGTGAGACCCAAAAAAAAAAAAAAAAAAAAAAAAAAATATCCCAAGGAAGAAAAGAGTAGGAAAAAAGAACTTGTGTCTGTCTTTACACATGCGTGAATTGAACATTATGAAGCCAATAGAAGTTACTTCCTATATGAGCAACAGTGACTAACAATCGAGGTGATTACGAAATTGGTGAATTGAACATTATGAAGCCAATAGAAGTAACTATATGAGCAACAGTGACTAACAATTGAGTTGATTACAAAATTGGTGAATATCCTGGCATGTATCACGTAGGAAAAGAATTTTCTTCAAAAGAGTTAGAGATCCACAAGGATTTGTTTTCATTGTGTGAAACCGGTTCTGTAACCCACATATTTATAAGCACTGAAGTGATGTGTTTGAATAGTCACAACTATACAATGTCTCTAAGAATCCATCAGACACAATCTTTACCAAAGAGTTGTGTCTTTGGGTATTTGAATTTAGACACAACTCTTCCATATAATTCTTGAAGCATGAGCCGTTGGGTTTCAAAATAAATTAAGTAGTTATGTAATGTAATTTTATATTTTTATTAGGGACATTTGTGGAATAATAAAAAGTAGAAAACATTTGAAGGTCTTCTGCACTTTTAAAGTATTCTTTAGGGTTTAGTCCCAAGGAGATCATGGGTTCAATTCCCTTTAGGGGGTTCAATTAAGGGAGTGCAAGCACTCAGGTGTTTTGCCAAGGATTGGGAGATTTTCTCCCATAGGTGCTAATCTAACAATTAACATTTACCGATCAAAAAAAAAAAAGTAGTAGAGATATAGAAACGCGCCAATTTCATAAAAGAGATGCATACTTGCCGGTGGAGCAACACAAAATATAATGTAGAGGATTACTCCAGGACGCTAGAGGCCTTTACCACTGGACCATATTGTATTTTAAAACTTTGTGAACCAAACAAAGCTTTAAGTCTCATCAAATGAGGTCGGCTACATGAATTTTTCTTCTCCGAGAAAAAAAAAAAAAAAAAAAAGTTTAATGTCATAATCAATCACTCCATGCATATGACCTGACTACAACATATACAAAACACGGCAGGCTAGGATTTATTGCAAGAAGTAGTGAGGGCCTTTACCCAAATTCTAGACATCAGTACATCAAATGCATTATGAAGTTCAAAAACTAAAAAATTAGCAAATCATATCAACAGGCGTTTTTAGACCTTGATATTAGGCATTTTTTAGTATTTCTATATTGGGCATCTGCAACATCAAACATGTAAGCATAATTAATATTTATATCATATTTAAAAATATTTTCATCAAAAACATATTTAAAAATATTATTCAACAAAAACTACTTCAAAACTGAGTAAAGCAAACAAATGAGATTAACTTTATCATCAAACAAAAAAGAAAAAATATCAAATAATTCAAATATAATTGTAAGTTACTTTTTTGTTAGGTGCTCAAGAGATTCTCATAAGTACGACAATGAAGGTTGGCTACACTTGAATATTGTGGTGATGCCGTTTTAAAGTATCTTTGGAAGCTAGATCCTATTTTGTGTGGGCTAAGGTGTTTTTTCTAATGCTTAGTTTCAGATTGGATGTAGTAGCTTAAGTGATTGGTCTTTGTTATATATCTATTTTTCTGTTACTTGGTTAAAGTAATAATATATATATATATTAATGGTAGGAGCTTATATGTAAATATTATAACAATTACATCAAATTAAAAATTTATAGTTCAATAACAAATATCTAGAAAAACCATTGCATATTTTGTGGGTCAATCACTTTTGATTGCTTAAAACTCTGACTAAAAAATTGAAGCCTTGTTAATATATGTTAGCAAGATTCTTAGTGCCCCTAATATTATTTTATTAAAAATAAAAATGTGTTCACTCTCTTCATGGATAAAAGTATGGTTAAAACGAAAATTGGAACATAAAACTTTTGACCCACATAAATTCAGAATCCACATAAATTCAACCCACTTAATTCTTCATCAAAATTGAATCGAAACCTAAAATATAAAGGTTCTATAGAAACATTGAAACAAAGAGTTATATTAAATTAACCCATAACCTAAAAACAATTAGGGCATAACACTTACAATAATTAGGGCAAATATTTTTCTATTTAAATGTTTGAGAGATAGAGGATGCACGGGCGATGCCAGACGATACATGCTAAGTGGATGACACTAGATCTATGAAGCATGGGTATGGGTACGGGTACGGGTGCAAGTACGAGTATGAGTACTGGTATTGGTATGATATGGGTACTTTGATGCAATAAAATCTAAAAAAATTAAGGTCCGAGTGCGACTTGATACATTTGTAAAAAAATATTTATTTTTAATTTGGAGTAATGCAAAAATTGATTAAATGGTTTAATTTGTTAAGATCCAACCTACAATTAACATTTAATGTCAAAAGTAACGGTATATACCAAAATTAAATGTCATTATATTAAATAACTTACAAACCATAACTTAATTTTAAAATCATCCTTAGCAAAAAACTAAAAATAAAAAAGAAGCCTATTGAAAGGAATTTTATCTCTATTAGTAGAAAAAAATATTGTTTCGATTGAGGTACGTTACGGCTTGAGTATATATTAGGTACGTTTGGATACGCCAAAAATTAAGAAGAAAAAATTTAGGTACGTGTTTCGTGTATGTGTTATGTATGTAGAAGTACTATACAAAATACCATGTGCCGGTAAGTACCCAGTACGGGTACGTCCTGTTTGTCGAAGTACCCATGCTTCATAGCTTTGAATGAAAATGCCTGATGAAGGAAGAACATAAATCTCCTATTCTGTCTTTTAGGGCTATTTTGGATTATTCCACTCTTCCTACTTATGTATTTAAATCTAGGTGCCTAAATTTATTGGTTGAATCTTTCTTCTGGATAAAAGAACTGTTTGTTTTAGACTGTTTTGGATCAATTTGGATAAAAGAACTCTCTTTTTTTTTTATGCCTCTACTTATTCCACTCTATTTTGACTGTTTGTTGTGTAAATAAAGGTGCTGTGTCTGTAATTGTATTGTGGCGTATTATGGGGATGCTTTTTCTCTCACCTGAACCTGTATCTATGATGTTTAAATGGTGGATGTGCACATTTCCCTTTTAGTAAAAAAATGCATTTACATTCCAAAATATCGATTAAAATATAACAAATGGAATTTAAGAAAATAAAAAAAATGACATTAATATATTTGTGTTATGGTTTCCCTCAACAACAAAAAAAAAAAGTTGGGTCTTTATTTTTTAATTAAAAAATGAGGAATCATAAATTTTGGACCCAAATAAGGCCCAAAACAGTAAAGACCTACTTGAAAAATAAGTCAAAAAGGGCCCAAAACAATAAAGCCTAAACTGCCAAACCGATTTGCGTCCATATGTGCTAAGCGGATTGATGCAGATTGATTTTTTTCCAATTCGCTTAACTTCAGACAAATGGTGGATGGGTTGTCAGCCAACCCAACTTAACTTGCAAGCACCCCTAGATAAAGCCTTCATCTAGGTTTGTCGTATCAGTCTTCGTTCTTCACACTCTCGACGGAATTTAGGATATTTGAAAAACCTTGAATCTTGTACTTTTGTTGCAACTTAGCTCTTTCTCTGTATGTATTACCATGAAGATTATTCAAATCTGTGCTTTTTCTAGGGTTTATTTTTTTAGCAAATTTTGATTCTACTTTCTAGGGTTTATAGCTTAACATTCTTGTTTATTCATGGAAGATTTTCTTCATGGTTATGAATATGGAAACTAGGTTAAGTTAAGAATATTTGATTGGGGATGACTGGATTTGACCGTAGAAAGAGAATTTTGGAATATAGGGTTTGGATGTGAGTGACAAATTTTTGTAGGTGGAACGAAGTAATGTTGGCAAATGCTGTAGAGATGTGTGGTTTTGGGTCTACTTTGAAGATTTCTCTTTAATTTGTTAATTTTTGATAATTGTTTTCAAATATAGTCATTGATTTTGGACAATTTGATTGATTTATAGAATGCTCAAGCCTAAGAACTCAATAGTGTTTGTGAAAACGAAAATTTGGATAGGAAAATCATATTATACAGCTGAATAGTTGGTGTACGCAGAAGTATGCCTTCTTTTTTTTTGGTTTAAACAACAGTAACCTTTTATTCTTCTTTATTTATGGTGTCTGTTATATGTTTAGGTTTATAATTATCATTTTATGCAGTTACTTTCACTTTTGGTTGACTTCTATATGCAATCAGACTTTATGGATTTCTATATCTAATCATTTGAAAATTTAAGGATGTAGGCTTATGCCTCTTTTGTTCTATTGTGATTGAGAGTTGTTTCTTTTTTTCCATCCAATTACTTTCTGTTATTATAATCTTTCGATTCACTATTTGATTCGCAATTTATGTAATTTCGATACGAATCTATGGGTGAAGCTATTTTCAAAGTGGATCTATGGTGAATCGCATGATTTATAATTGATTCACTTTTTAGGATTCATGAAATTCTTAAAACTATCGTATCCGACATATTTTGATTATTTTTTTCTCCCTCTTTTTAGTGAAAATGACATGATATACAACTTCTAATAACCAATATATATATATGATTTGTTGTTATTTTGGTGTTTAGATAGTTTTTAATAGAATCTAATCAGATTTAATTAGACCCAACATATTTGTAACCTTTTTTTTTTTCTCTCATTTTTTTCCTTGACAAAAATCACGATATATCTTCTAAAAATGTTTAAGGTTAAATAATGTGCAGCGTAAATTATTTGTTGCTATTTTATTGAAATAAATATATTTCAATGTTGCGTGGGTGAGTTCCATTGAACCTAATGATTCCATAAGTTTTTATTTTTATTTATAAATATTGGAATAATAAGCATACATACCTTTAAAAGTGTTTTAGGTTTTAAAACAAAGAATTTCAATTAATTCTTTCTTATTATTGCGTCATTGTTACTTAGTCAGTATGTATGCTTGTTGTCCGTCTGTCTTTTCCTTCTGTGAACTTCTCCTTCTATCATTTTCTTTTGTGAATTCTAATTCTAATAGGGGGGCTTTCTTTTTGCTTCTTCGTCTTCCATTTTTTTTACTCCTCTTCTGTGAACTTCTCCGTCTGTCTTTTAAGTAAAGAGCTAGTTTTCTATGTCCATCTCCATGGCATGGAGTCAAACTGACGTTCCTTCTCTTGACTTGTAATCCATGATTTTTTTCTTCTTGGAGCTCTATAGTAAGTCATACTTTGATATCTTGATTGTTGGTGCAATTCTCAGCCTTTATCCTTATGTGTTGGTCTGGAGGATTTTTCTGTCCTTTTTTAGGCACTTATTAGACTTTGTGGTTTTGTTGAACAACATAACAATGTGCATCCATTGTTACATTACAAGCATATTGTTTGAACCATTGGCTGTTCATGGACTATTTGGTTTGGTTCTAAGGTATATTCAATAATCAAACCAGATTCTATGGGTCCATAAATTTAGGAACGAACCAAACCGAATCATAAAACCTTTGGAATAGAACCAGAACCAAACTGCAATTAGCGGTTGCACGTTTTAGGCTAGAAAATTCATCAGTATATCTAGACTATCTAGTTCATTAAAATTGGTTCTACCTAAACAAATATTTCAAAAAACTCATCAGCATACTTCCAACTTTTAGAATATCTCCATAGTATGTTTTTTATAAAATATGTAAAGAAAAGCAAATTCTTCATATAGTAATTACTATCAAATGCAATTTTCAATAATAAAAAAAGTGTAGAAATCATATAAAAAGTGGAAAAAAAACACATTTTTGTATAAAGAGAGTACTTTGTGAATAGGATGAATGAAGACCTCATTAAAGTCGAGATGAGATTGAAATTCAAAGAAGTCGATGAGACGAAAATTAAGTACCTTGTTGAACACCATACACATTAAAATTAATAAAATATATCGAATGGTTCGGTTCGGTTTTATTTGGTTCTTTTGACCCTTTATCCGTGATCCGAACCATAATAAACAATTCTTAACTTTTGAGAACCAAAACCAAACTATTCCTAAAAAAATGGACCACACCATACCGTTTGGATATGTTCGAATTGGTTTACTAGTTTTCTTGAACACTCCTATTGAATGCAATGACTTGTTAACTGTATACATTGAAGCACCCTAGTTTTTCTTTTTACTTAATAATAGTACGCACAATGTACCACATAGGGAGTAAGTTAAAATTTAAAAGTGATGTCTATTTATTTATTTTTATTGAGATACAAATTGTGGGATGTGTTTGGGGTGGTGTCATTTTGGAAAGTCGAAAAGCCTGTGGTTTATATTGTAGTTTATTTATAGTTGATAGCCCTTTTCGGTAGGATCAAGTTCAATGGTACAAGTAGGACTATAGAATAATTCGTACTTCTTGAATTTGGCTCAAGCTTAGCTTACTTCATCTCACCCAGTACCCTATCAATGGCAAGCTTGATTTCAAAGATATATTTAACAACAAATTTTTTTTTTTGATAACTGGCGGTCTAGGCCAGCTTACACGCACTTCGACTAATCCCAGGGCCTAGAAGTTAATGACCAGGTGAACCTCCAGTGGCCCTTGGGTGACTTGTACTCAAAATTTTGGAACTTATTCTCAAGTCTTTACCATTCGGCCAACCCCTTGGGCTTTAAAGATAGATTTAACAATATGAAAATGCTTAGCTCGATAATTGTAGCTTGATGTAAGGCTTTGTGATTGAATTTTGCAAATTAGAACTAAGTTTGCTAGTATAAATTGGCTAAGTTGTTGTAACTTTTAATAGCATATGAGTTTATTTGCATTTTTTTTAAAATAAATAAATTTCTGGTAGGATGAAGTGACAAACCATGCTTGAGTCGAGCCTGGTAATTGGTTTTTTGGACTTGGTTTTGCTTGTGTCCACCTGTGGGACAAAAGTTTGTGTTAGAGAGTTTGATTATTCCCATGTTGATTGATATTGCAATAATGTGTATCCAAAATATTGCAGTTTGTTTATTCCCATCTTGAATACCATATAATCTTGTAAAATTTCTGCTAGTTTCCTGAGATTTAAATGAGGTAAACCCCCTCCCTGTGCCCTAGCTTGTTTCATTTACGGTGATGGGGTATTGGGTCCCAACTATCATGGGTTTTGTGTAGGGATGAGGGAGGGTTTTCCTTTTAGGGGCTGGGTATGGTTAAGGCAAACCCTTACCAAACCTGCCTCATTGGCGACCCTATGTTGAACTTCAACTAGATCAGATGATTGAATAAGAGGTTTGCCTTTGTAATCAATATAAAACTGCAGAGAATTGTTTCATTCTACCCAATTTTTTGTAATCTATTTTTCATTCTTAATTGTAGGAACTGAAATTTGTGTAGAGACCAACTATGGACACAATTTGGATTTAGTTTCTTCCTAAGAAGTACGGACACTTTTAAGAAGGTGACGTGTCTGTGTCGGACACCAACACTCTTTGACCCTCATCAAAATGTGTCCCTATTTTTTAATTCTTTTTGAAAACCTCGGGCACTTGGAGGACACACGTGTCTAATAACTAATTATAAGTTTGAACAAAATAACTTAAGAAACAATAATAAAAGAAAAACCATATAAATTTATAGGAATTAGGGTCATATTGTCCTCTTTTTTTTCTTTTTTTTTATTGTCTTTGAACATTATATTCATAAATATACGACATACAATAAATATATAAATTTATATATTTTATGCTTGATCCTCACATGTCATATCCTATTTTTTTTTTTTTAAATTGACATGTTGGCCTATCCATGTTGTATCCGTGTCGTGTGTCTATGTCCATGCTTCTTAGGTTTCTTCTCATATTCTTTGCCTTTATGCTCTATTTGGTTAGTTGGAATGAGAAGGGATGGAATGAAATAGTGATTCTTTAGGTTTTCCTATGGAATAACTATTCCTTTAAAATGGAGAAAGATTATTTCATTTGTAATACATTTGTCATCACTTTTTTAGTCTAACCAAACAGAGAATGGACAATTTGTTAGAATGATCATTCCATTCTGCTTTATTCCAGTGAACCAAATACTACTGTAGAGTGTATAAGCATTTAGAGAAGTTTATGTTTAATCTTGATTCGTCCCAATTATATGGAAGGATTGGTTGATAATTAAAGTTCAGTTTGAAGAAAACTATGAAAAAAGGGCAAGATTAATATGACTTAAATTGTGGAGTGTTTGCTTCTTTTCCCTATGTTCTTTATTTGGTCAAAAAGAATATTTATATTGATAGATCTGACATAGTAGGACAGGTCATGATCCTGAACTATGAGTTGAGCATTTATTATCCTGAAGTGTGGCAGGTGCAAGGCTTAAAATGACTTGCTTGTCTACAGACTCTGAATTCTCACTGAACTTTTGAGTGACAATTGTTAGGTCCCAGACTCCTAGCAATAGCATTGAATCTTTTTGTGGTAGAGGAAGGGAGAAATGATAACTATCCTAGTGTTGTGTTTGCCATCATTGGAAGAGCATCTACCAAAATTTTTATATTTGATTCTGTTTGATGACCAACACCTTATTTACCTTTGTCTTCTTTCCTGACTTATTGTTAATTAATTGTTTGGTAGTTTGTCGCAGGTTACCATCAAGTTCGGGATCTATCAACCTGTTGCAGAAAGCATGGCTAAGCATCACCCTGATTTGATTATGTGCAGGAAGCAACCAGGTATTGCCATAGGACGATTATGTGAGAAGTGTGATGGGAAGTGCGTAATTTGTGACTCCTATGTGCGTCCTTGCACACTCGTGCGAGTTTGTGATGAATGCAACTATGGATCGTTTCAGGGCCGCTGTGTTATCTGTGGAGGAGTGGGAATTTCTGATGCCTACTATTGCAAAGAGTGCACGCAGCAGGAGAAAGATAGGGACGGTTGTCCAAAAATTGTCAATTTGGGGAGTGCCAAAACAGACCTGTTCTATGAACGAAAAAAATATGGGTTTAAGAAAAGGTGATGGTATTGAATTATTTTCTTCCCAAGTTTGTTTCATTATGTAGTAATATACTTGGAGATGACGACATAGGGTCCTAGGTCTTACGATTTGTATTTGGGGATTATTATCAGGTTTTTGTTCCTGAAAATGAAGAGGGGTGATGGACAAGCTAACATTAAAACTCTATCTGAATGGAAACATTGTTGAATTTGCATCTAGGCCTACAAATCATCTTTGTTGGTCTCTCTGGATGCAATTTATAGCAAATGATTCTTGGTTGTGTAGGTTTTTATATAACATCTATTAAGAATATCTTCAACGGTGTATTAAATTTTTCATTAAATTTGAGTAAAAGGTCTATTTGATTCCAATAGAGGTTTTTGAAATTTCACTAGAACATCAGTCGACTGGGCGGATGATCGGGCGGATGCTCGGCCAGTTGATCGGTCAATGTAAATTTTGCACAAATTTTTTGCCTAGAGGTGGGGGACGATTGGGCGAATGTTTGGCTGATTGATTGGTCAGTGTAAATTTTTTATAAATTTTTGTTTTGAGATGGTCATTTGGGGAACATTTGATGATAAAAATTTAACGGTTATAAATAGTGATTTGATAAAAGATACATTTATTTTTAATCTGATTAAAGATTTGAAAAATTCTGAAATTGATGAAAGATTTAGTAAATTTTTGAAACAGTGAAATGTATATTTTTTTTATTAAATTTAAATTTAATAAAACATTAGAGATTTAAATATTGATGGTTGTGGGCAATCATGTTGAATGAGTGTTGTTGACAGTGCAGGATTAAAATATTATTTCTTCTTCTGTCCTAGTGAGCAACCGATTATTTCTCATCACTGATGGCAATACGTTTGGCAAGTGGGTTATTTTTTAAGTTACAATTTAGGGACATTTACTGATAAATCTTATCCTACAAACAGTTTTATCAATTGGTCCCATTTTTATTCTATTGTTCTCATTAGTCCTATCAGTGAGGAAATATATTCATTTTTTATCCTATTCATTTGTTTTTATTCATTTAGTGGGACAATTATACCCTTCCTTTCACGCAGCCTTTCCTTTCACGTATTACCCATTTTCTAGGGATTAATTGCACAAATTTTGGTATTTCGTATATTTCTATTGGTAAGACATTCGGAGTGTTATGTTAGGGTTTTGGGAGAGGCGTGAGAGGTTGTGTGTTTGTTTTCTTAGTGTGACACACGGACGGCTCTGCAGAAGTTTGTCGTCGGTAATGCTGAGTTGCCAAGGTATGTTTGTGTGTTTCTGTTGTTGCGCGTTTGTGTGGTTGATGATTTTTTGTTTTCTTTTGTAATGGCGATGTTGTTATAATGTAAAACACGAGTAACCATAACCAAGTTTCAGAAATATCCATTGGGCAAAATGGAATTGTGGTCTTCGGTTTGGTGTCTGTATCTTGGTATGTGGTTTGGTCTGTGTCTGTTAATCATTTTGCTTTGTAATCAATGTGACGAACTGCTATGTGTCACTATATTTTTCTGTCAATATGTTCTCTACTTACACTACTGTGGTTGGTGATTTCTTGTATTGTTTTGTAATGGCGATGTTATAATGTAAAACACGGGTAACCATGACCAAGTTTCCGACGCCACAATGTCACGTTAAGCACATTCCAATTCCATGGGTATAAGCGAATTCGCATTTTCAGTTATGTAGGTCGGTATTGGCGGTAATCGTAGATTTTCGGCATGACGTAGTTATCTTTTCATAGGTATGGACACGCATATTTTGTTGGTGTGTTGTTATTGCAACATGAATGCTGCGATCAAGTTGTATTTCCCGTATCGATTTGACGATCTTCTGAATTGTGTGTGCGGGAAATTTGATGGTTTAATAGATGCTAATGTGTCCATGTTTTTCAAGATGTCGGGATACAATAACTTTACATTACAAAATGACATCGATATAGACAACATGGTTTGCCTTGCATGGTCTTTCCAATTAGACCACATTGATGTCATCATTCAATCTCGGATAACGCAAGGTGCCGACGACATTGGTGACGCAACTCCAATCCCACTAGCCGATACGTGTAACTTACATGTGCTTGCAGATGAGTCAGACATTGATGATGACCAACAAGATTTGCTTCCCAAATTTTGTCCCCATGCTGATAAGGTTTTCCTATCTGCCCAATGGGTTCATGGTATGACACACATCGAACAAAGTTTCGAGGGGGGAGCCAATGAATTTCGTTCTGTCCTTCGCAAATATGCGGTTGAGTGTGGATTTCACTTTAAATTTTTGAAGAATGACTCTGTATGGATCACAGCGGTTTGCATGATGAGGGAATCGAAAAACTGCATGTGGTCTATACATGCACGAGTATTACGTGCTGATGAGTTTTTCTACATTCGCAAGTGGAATAGGGAGCACAGTTGCGGTATTGCCGTCTGGACAGCAAAAAACCTAAGGGCTGGGTCTGAATTAGTGTGTGATGTTATATCCGAACAGGTACGTGACAGATCGCTCACACGTTCGACCGATGTGGTGTACAACCTGAAGAAAGATTATGGATTAGAAATTAGCTACCGGGTCACATGGTTGGGCGTTAAGAAAGCGCGTGGCGAAATGTTTGGTGCACATTCCATTTCATTCGATCAGTTGCGGTGGTATAGTAATGTCGTTATGGTCAATAATCCAGGCAGCTACATAAACATTGACTATGATGAACAAAATCACCGGTTTGAACGGTTTTTCATATCATTTAAAGCATGTATTGATGGGTTCAACCATTGTCGCCTTTTATTATTTTTGGATGGTCCTTTTTTGAAGGGTAAATTTAAGGGCAACTTGCTAGCTGCCAGCGTGAAGGATGGCAACCAAGGTTCGTTTTCAGTTCTGCACTCGTAATACATTATTTTTTTGGTTTGTCACAATTTGTATGGGTTTGTGGCATAATAATGTCACGCTTGTATGACTGTTATATGGGTTAGTCGCATAATTTTGTCATGTTCGTCATGCTTGCCAACTAACAGCTTTGTACACAGGTTTATTTCCATTGGCAATAGCAATTGTGGATTCTGAAAACGTTGCAAACTGGTTCTGGTTCTTGCAACACCTTGCCAACGTTGTTAGCAATGACAGGACACTTACATTCTTGCCTGACCGTCACACAGGCCTCATCAACTCAATACCCAAAATATTCCCGTCAGCACACCACGCGTTTTGCTTACAACATTTGCAACGGAATCTGCAGGACAAGATGAGGTACGTCAACAGTTCGTACCGAGCGGGATTGCTAAATAAATTCCGGGCATGTGCATATACACCTACTGTAACAGGATTCAATGCTAGCATCGAGACATTCATCAAGTCTGGGAGGAATGTGGCAACATCTTTTCTGAAAGATATACCCCCACAGTATTGGGCAAATGCTTATTTCATGTACGCACACTCTCTTTATACATAAACAGTTACACACAGCACAACTATTACAACATAACGGTTTCACATTCTAACAAACAACATACGTGCAAATACGTAACATTTAGTTGAACTGTGTAACAGGGGTGCACGTTACAGCGAGATGTGTTCTAATGCTGCTGAGTCATTCAACTCATGGATCCTCGAAGCACGACATCTTCCCATCACCCAAATGGTTGATAGTATTTGGACAAAAATCATGAACCAAATGCCGAAGCGCAGACGCAAGTCAGCAGCATGGCCTGGAGTTCTATGTCCCAAGATGGAGGCTCGTTTGGTGAAAGCATATAACAAAGGAAGGGTATGGATTGTAAGCCAATCAAATGATAATGTGTACGAGGTCCATTCGTATCCATCAGTGTTGGTTGATGTTGACAGGCGTACGTGCTCGTGTTTTCAGTGGCAAATTAATCAGTTACCATGTACACACGCAATGGTTGCAATACGTAACAGTGGTAGAGATTTATATGACTTGGTTGAGTCATTTTACCATGCATCAACATACCGACTGTCATACGCTTCAAGCATAACCGCTATTCCTACTGTTGAAAAACCATCATTCCAGCTGGACGACTTTGCCATACATCCACCCGTTATAAAACGACCGCCAGGGAGGCCAAAGAAAAAACGTATGCTTTCTAGGGGGGAAGAAGTGCAGTTAATTCGTTGCGGACGTTGTCAACGCATGGGGAACCACAACAAGAAGACATGCAAATAACCAATTTAGCATACCGAACATTGACGCATCTTTTAAGTTTTGGAAGTTATAAACACTTATCGTAGTCTAAACTTTTGCACCATTAATAATGTTGTGCCACCTCCACAACACCTACCACATGGTTATGTGTTTGTTTTTCCCATTTACATGTTTGATTTTTATGAACATTTGCAAATAAAGGTATGTCACACATACCTACCTGTCCTCTACTTTACGAACATTTTTCAACTCCTGTGTGCATCACACAGCCTTCTTGTCCTGTCACTCGCAATAATGTCTTGTTCTACATTACAATCATTTCTCAATTTTCACATACTATTTTTACATCCAAATGCTTATTTCAGATCCCTTCAATCCAAATGCTTATTACAGGTCATTTCATTTCATTGTTGTGCATTTTTTTATGTTTCCTACTTTATTTATTAACGCATTTTACCTCGTCACTTTTATGGCATACAAGGAAAATTTTCATGTAGTACTTCGTCATTGCCAAACGTTTTCTTACACAACAATGAAAACCATATCAACATGTGTTTGTTTGTCCATTTACATGCTCAATTTTTGTGCAAATTTTACAAACAACATTGTGTAACACATATCATACCCGACCATTTAACTATCAACACTAATGTATTGTTCTTCTCAATAATTCCTCGTCGTCAATTACAACCAACTCTCATTTTTATACGTAACAATTACATCCAAACCCTGATTGCAGGTCGTCCAAATCACAATGCTTACTTTAACTGCATTACACTTCGTGTCTGTGTGTTTTTAAATGCTTCTTATTTCATTTCCAAACGTACTTCGCCTCGCTAATTGTTTGTCATAAAATGCAAACGTCCCTCCACTACTTCGTCATTACGACATGTTTAATTACACAACAATGAAAAGTATATATGCCCATATTATCGGGCCATTAACAAACAATAACAGTCTCCACATCAATGGCTAATACATTGATTGTTAAGACATCACATAACCACAAAAACCATGTTCGCATATTCACATAAGTCATCCACAAATAGAACAACATTACGCCCACCAACATAAACACATCCGCAACCCACACCGAAACACACAACAAACATAATGTGCATCCAAAAATGTAATTCTTATTAGACTTCTCCAAAGCCATATTTACTGACACACAGCAACCCAAAAAGAACTAAGCATGCCAACCGCGTATCAACGTCATAAATACCACTAAACTATAATTTGGCACATCTTGTGCACATAACAAAAACAAAAAGCATAATCAAACTTCTAAAACCAAAAATAAAGTTTTCGATATTAATATTAACTTCCTACTTTCAAAAAGAGATTGTTATAGCAGCTTCACATCTTCAATCTTTCAGCCCCATAACCGGATCATTGATGAACCCCTTAACCATATTCGCTCGTAAAACACAGCCATTGTTACCTTGCAGAGAACGGCCCACATCCGCATGGTACACGTACTGCCTCATAATAACACAGACAATGACTGCACAATCTAGCCTGCGCAGGGGGGTGGGTGGAGGGGGAAAGCAAATAATATAATGTCAGTGTGACAACCATCAATCTTCCAAAAAAAAAAAAAAAAAAACCAATATGTCTGGTTGCTGTAACAAAATTAGAGATACTTACGAGTCCGTTTTCTGTTGGGGGCAGTTTGCAACAGCCTCCAAAGGGTGGTTGAAAGTTTCCGCAATGCTCATCTCGTCTATCCCATCCTTACGTAACGATCCCTTCATGACATTTGACACACGCTCTTTCTGTCACACAACAAATTAACCAAACAAATTACATACATAATTACTTTTCTTCATCACTCATTCCCAACCAACAAAATTCACAATCAAATGCAACGTTGACATTACCAAAACAAGTGCTTCATTATGATGCACATCTGTTCGAGCTGATGAATGTTGTCTCATTGGATTAAAATGTTGCCAACTTCCATCCTCCGTGTCATACACCACAAGAGTCCAGTGCGTGTTGTGGTACACAGGAAAATGTATGTACCGACATTCCTTCGATGCTAAAAATTTTTTCAGCACATACTTCTCAACTGACTTCATGTTGCTATTCCACAACATGTCCTGCAACACAGCCAATTCATACGCATTTAACAGTTCACACAATACTATGCTGTTTACCAACAAAACAAAATAACTAACCATGCACACACTGCTAAAAAAATACGATTTGTCAACCACATCTTCCCCTTCCATCTACCTTTGACTGGTTCATAAACAACATTTCTGCATACACATCAATCACCTGCCACAACATCTCACCATATTCAATACACATTGACCACAATCTCACAAGATTTTAATACCACAACTATAGGTTATATTCATACAACAAAAACAAGTAAAATAAAAAACAAACAAAACAAAACATCGAACCCAACTTACATTGCCACGCAGGTTGTCCCCCCGTATAAGATCTTTAACATCAGTAAAATAAACAACAACAACACTCGCCTTACCAGCCCACGTTACAGCCCTACACACAAACCACGTAACAAATCAACATAATGACATTAAAAAAAATTAAACACAAAAACATGGCTATACACAAATTCATACCCGTCACTATCCTGCTCGTACGCTTTGGTTATTTTTGTTTTTTCGTCTGTCGTCATCATTTTCCAAGTCCCAAACCGGTTGTTCATGTCAAAACCAGACCACTTCTTCTCAGGAAGCACAACGGTTTCCACATCAACGACGACATCATTCACACTGCATTTGTCACTGACCCCAATAGCATCCACGTGTGTACCAGACTCTCTCCCACGCTCACAAGCCAAAGGATACTCATAATCTGACAATTTTCGTTCTTTTCTGACTTTGTTCTTGATGTTGCGGACGAACGAATTGTGTATACCCATACCTTGGACGCCTTCCACCATGTACAGTACAACTTCCATTTCAGTATCTGACACATCTACAGCACTTGGTCCACAAACATTCATCGGGCTAGAATCTGACAACGTGTGCATTTTCTTTTTGTAATGGCGATGTTGTTATAATGTAAAACACGAGTAACCACAACCAAGTTTCAGAAATATCCATTGGGCAAAATGGAATTGTGGCCTTCGGTTTGGTGTCTGTATCTTGGTATGTGGTTTGGTCTGTGTCTGTTAATTATTTTTCTTTGTAATCAATGTGACGAACTGTTGTGTGTCATTGTATTTTTCTGTCAATATGTTTCTCTGGTTACACTATTGTGGTTGGTGATTTTTTATTTTGTTTTGTAATGGCGATGGTATAATATAAAACATGGGTAACCACAATCAAGTTTATGACGCCACAATGTCACGTTAAGCACATTCCAATTCCATGGGTATAACCGAATTTGCAATTTCAGCTATGTACCGTGTTCATACATTAAGGTCGGTATCGGTGGTCATCGTAGATTTCCAGCATAACATAGTAATTTTTTTTGCAGGTATGGACACGCATATTTTGTTGGTGTGTTGTTATCACAACATGAACGCTGCGATCAAGTAGTATTTCCCGTATCGGTTTGACGATCTTTTCAATTGTGTGTGAAGGAAATTTGATGGTTTAATAGATGCTAATGTGTCCATGTTTTTCAATATAGACAATATGGTTTGCCTTGCACGGTCTTTTCGATTAGACCACATTGATGTCATCATTTAATCTCGGATAACGCAAGGTGCAGTTGACATTGGTGACGCAACTCCAACCCCACGAGCCGATACGTGTAACTTGTCTGTGCTTGCGGATGAGTCAGACATTGATGATGACCAACAAGATTTGTTTCCTAAATTTTGTCCTCATGCCGATAAGGTTTTCTTGTCTGCCTAATGGGTTCATGGCATCACATACGTCGGACAAAGTTTCGAGGGGGGAGCCAGTGAATTTCGCTGTGTCCTTCGCAAATATGCGGTTGAGTGTGGATTTCGCTTCAAATTTTTGAAGAATGACTCTATTCAGATCACAATGGTTTACATGATGAAGGAATCGAAAAAATGCATGTGGTCTATAAATGCACGAGTATTACGTGCTGATGAGTTTTTCTACATTCGCAAGTGGAATAGGGAGCACAATTGCGGTGTTGCCGTCCGAACAGCAAAAAACCCAAGGGCTGGGTCTAAATTAGTGTTTGATGTTATATCCGAACGGGTACGTGACAGACCGCTTACACGTCCGACTGATGTGGTGTACGACTTAAAGAAAATTTATGGATTAGAAATTAGCTACCGGGTCGCATGGTTGGGCGTTGAGAAAGCCTGTGGCGAAATGTTTGGTGCATATTCCATTTCATTCGATCAGTTACGGTGGTATAGTAATGCCGTTGTGGTCAACAATCCAGGCAGCTACATAAACATTGATTACGATGAACAAAATCACCGGTTTGAATGGTTTTTCACTCTGTATCTGGCAAAGCAGTCCATGTTTGGCACTTCTTTCTTAAAAATCAGTTTTCCAAAATGATTTGCCGGATTTAGACTCTTTGGTGATTTATCGGTCTTGCATTGCACTTTGCGGGATTAGATTTAGAACCGTGACATTTGAGTCCGAACTGTAGTAACAAAGCCCAAGGGCGCGTCTACATTTTGCCATTCCCTTCGCTTACTGCATTATTAATGACCTTCGTTTACTTAAACAATATGCGACCTTGCATCTTGTTCACTCCCATGTTGTTCATCTTCGCCCCCCTCCCCGCTCCATCAATTCATTTTCACTCACATGAACGTGTCCACGGGCTTCGTTGAATGTCAGTACCTGCAATACAAACAAACGAAAATTAAAAACCTACTCAACAAAACACAGCATACGTCAACCAAACGTAAAACACACACATTACCACACTACGCGGTTCCGATAACAACTACTTCACCCCAACGCAACAAAACAATATCAAATTAAAACATTAAGGTTTACCCCCACAGTTGCGCGCAATCCAACAACCCAATGACTGTCACGCAACCACAGACATAAACCTACAGACAAACCCCAATCATGACGCAACACACACCCACCAATGACTACAAACCAGACTGGTCAACATACACACAACACAACACACACCCACCAAGGACACACACACCAAAACAAGGACCACAATTTCCATTTTCCCCCAATGTACAGTCCAAAAACAACTACTGCACCCCAACGCAAGAAAACAAAATACATATTAGAACATTATGGCTTACAACCACGATTCTGCACAAGACAACAAACAAATGACTGTCACACAACCACAAGCAAAAAGCCAACACATAAACCCTAATCACGACGACCATACATGACGCATAACATGACCAAACATGGTAACACAAATGAATGTGTCACGACGATTATACACACACATCTTAATCGTAAAAACCCCAAAATCTTTTACCCTAACACACGAAAACATATGATCAATACACAGGGATGGGTGATATAGAACCTGTCGTCTTCATCGTTCCAGCAACGACCACTAATAATGACACGCAACAAATCCCTCGTACGGTGTGGTCCCCTTGCAGCACCTTCTCTGAAAACCAAAATCAAAATGCCCCACTGTATGATAGTCACATGATCCTCCTGTCACTGACTCACATATAAACCTCCAGTCAAAAACGACAACCAAGCTCAATTTGGTATTTTCGCAGATTTGGGGGAATTCGATAATGTAAATCCCAACAAAATAGGGTTTCAAACAACAACACACATTCAATGTGGGAACGGTTCATATACGCGTACCCGTTTATTTGCGTGTGTTACGGGTCGAATCCGGGTAAAAAGTGGTCCATTGCTTTGTGTACCACGCGCCTTCTACTAGCCCACTAAAACAAAAACAATACAAAAGTAAAAAAGCCCTTAGTGTACTTTCACAATGTGTGTCACAAATCCACGCGTACACCGTTGCACATTCTCAATAAACGCGGGGCTCAAATATCACGTAAATCACAGCTGTAACACTAATAAACAAAAACTAGTGGCAATTCTGTCTTTTTCCAACACAAAGGACTAAATGGATCACAAGAAAAATTTTGGGACTAAATGGAACACAAGTTCAACATTTAGGATTTATGGGTAACTTTCCCTAAAATTTATGAAATAATAAAATAGATTAAAATAGTCAATAAGATAAAAAGTTACATTTTATTTATAATTATTTTATTTTTTCTCTTACAAACATTATATCTAATTATAAAAAAAGTTAATCACTTTTTTAAACACACAAATTTTAATCTATTAAAATAATCAAAAATTAAAATAACTTACTAAAATAGTTAACTTTTCAAGACTATTATTTAATAGGGGCTGGCTTCCTTACGGTCGGTGATTGGAAGGTACTGTTGGGCCTGTGGAGGCTTGTCACGGGCTCCATTTTGATAATCTGAACTGTTCAATGTGTAGAACTCATCGAATATTATATGTCTATAAAAAATCACGTTGATCGGATATCGATAACTATGTGATCAAATCAGTTTTGTATAAAAAAAATGAACGATAAAAAATAAACGATTGACAGAAATCTAATCTGATAAAATAGCTATCGATATCCGATCAATGTGAATTTTTATAAACATATAGTACTTGATAAGTTCTACATATTGAACGGTTCAAATTATCAAAACGAGACCTATGATAAACCCTTATAAGTTCAACAGTATCCTCTAAGCGGCGATCCAACTAGAGGAAAGCATAGCCCTATTTAATAATCCAGAGATTTTGTGGTTGTATCTTTGTGTGATTGATTTTGCCTTTTGATTTGCTATATTATCCTAACTACTGATTTTGTGAGTGATATAGCCAAGTCATTTTCATTTCGCCTACTGTGTAACTTTTAAAAAAGTTCACTTTACTCGTTTGTCAAATCGTATGTTAAAATTTGGGGAATGGCTTCCTCCAATCCAATCACACGGGAGGGTGAGATTTAAGGAGGTATATCACATGTTTTATTTTGATAATTTAAATTATTAATATGTAAAATTTATTGAGTATTATATGTTTGTAAAAAAATCATATTGATCTGATATCGATAGGTATGTGATCGAATCAATTTTGTATGAAAAAATAGACCGTGAAAAATAAATGACTTACAAAAATCTGATTTGATCACATAACTATCGATATCCGATTGAAGTGATTTTTTACAAACATACAGTACTCAACGAGTTCTACACATTAAATAGTTTAGATTATTAAAACGAGACTCGTGGTTACCCTCCATAAGTTCAACAATATCTTCCAATTCAATCACGGACCGAAGGAAACCATTCCTAAAAACAAGAACAATTCTCTCTCTCTCTAACTCTCCTCTCATGGTCGGCTAAGCTCAGGAGAAATGGCTGATGGAAATGTTTTGAGTCAAGGATGCAAGGTTCTAGCATCACTAGGTAGTGTGCCACTAAGGGTGGCAATATGGTAAATAAACCAAACTCTTTAATTAGCTTATTTTAATCTAATTTAATCGTACCTAATCAATTTTCAGATAAATACACCAAAAATTCACATTAATTACGAGGGTCACGGAACATCAATCGGTTTCTAGTTCGGCCGCCGATAAGGCCTTCAATTAGCAGTTTAAACATATAAACATGAACAGATAATCAGACAATCAAACAGATAGAATGCAATTAACTACCATATACTCAGTCAATTCAGTTTCAATTTCAGTCAGTCAGTTCAGTATTTCAATCAGTTCAATTATCAGTCAGTTATCATCAGTCAGTTATCAGTCATTATTAGTTCCGTTTAACAGTAATCGGTGATTATCGGTAATCAAGCAGTCATTAATCAGTAAACAGTATGGGGGTTGTTACAATTTGCTTCCCAAATTTTGTCCCCATGCCGATAAGGTTTTCCTGTCTGTCTAATGGGTTCATGGTATCACACATGTCGGACAAAGTTTCGAGGGGGGAGCCAATGAATTTCGTTCTGTCCTTCGCAAATATGCGGTTGATTGTGGATTTCGCTTTAAATTTCTGAAAAATGACTCTGTACGGATCACAGCGGTTTGCATGATGAGGGAATCGAAAAACTGCATGTGGTTTATACATGCATGAGTATTACGTGCTGATGAGTTTTTCTACATTCGCAAGTGGAATAGGAAGCACAGTTGCGGTGTTGCCGTCTGGACAACAAAAAACCTAAAGGCTGGGTCTGAATTAGTGTGTGATGTCATATCCAAACGGGTACATGGCAGACCGCTCACACGTCCGATCGATGTGGTGTACAACCTGAAGAAAGATTATGGATTAGAAATTAGCTACCAGGTCGCATGGTTGGGCGTTAAGAAAGCGCGTGGCGAAATTTTTGGTGCACATTCCATTTCATTCGATCAGTTGCGGTGGTATAGTAATGTCGTTATGGTTAATAATCCAGGCAGCTACATAAACATTGACTATGATGAACAAAATCACCGGTTTGAACGGTTTTTCATATCATTCAAAGCATGTATTGATGGGTTTAACCATTGTCGCCTTTTATTATTTTTGGATGGTACTTTTTTGAAGGGTAAATTTAAGGGCAACTTGCTAGCTGCCAGTCCGAAGGATGGCAACTAGGGTTCGTTTTCAGTTCTGTACCCGTAATACATTATTTTTTCGGTTTGTCACAATTTGTATGGGTTTGTGGCATAATAATGTCACGCTTGTATGACTGTTATATGGGTTAGTCACATAATTTTGTCATGTTCGTTATGCTTGCCAACTAACAGCTTTGTACACAGGTTTATTTCCATTGGCAATAGCAATTGTGGATTCTGAAAACATTGCAAACTAGTTCTGGTTCTTGCAACACCTTGCCAACGTTGTTAGCAATGACAGGACACTTACATTCTTGCCTGACCGTCACACAGGCCTCATTGACTCAATACCCAAAATATTCTCGTCAGCACACCATGCGTTTTGCTTACAACATTTGCAACGGAATCTGCAGGACAAGATGAGGTACGTCAACAGTTCGTACCGAGCGGGATTGCTAAGTAAATTCCGGGCATGCGCATATGCACCTACTGTAACAGGATTCAATGCCAGCATCGAGACATTCATCAAGTCTGGGAGGAATGTGGCAAGGTCTTTTCTGAAAGATATACTTCCACGGTATTGGGCAAATGCTTATTTCATATACGCATACTCTCTTTATACATAAACAGTTACACACAGCACAGCTATTACAACATAACAGTTTCACATTCTAACAAACAACATACGTGCGGGTACGTAACATTTAGTTGAACTGTGTAACATGGGTGCACGTTACGGCGAGATGTGTTCTAATGCTGCTGAGCCATTCAACTTATGGATCCGCGAAGCACGACATCTTCCTATCACCCAAATGGTTGATAGTATTCGGATAAAAATCATGAACCAAATGTCGAAGCGCAGACGCAAGTTACCAGCATGGCTTGGAGTTCTATGTCCCAAGATGGAGGCTCGTTTGGTGAAAGCATATAACAAAGGAAGGGCATGGATTGTAAGCCAATCAAATGATAATGTGTACGAGGTCCATTCGTATCCATCAGTGTTGGTTGATGTTGACAGGCGTACATGCTCGTGTTTTCAGTGGCAAATTAATCAGTTACCATGTGCACACGCAATGGTTGCAATACGTAACAGTAGTAGAGATTTATATGACTTGGTTGAACTATTTTACTATGCATCAACATACCGACTGTCATATGCTTCAAGCATAACCCCTATTCCTACTATTGAAAAACCATCATTCCAGCTGGATGACTTTGTCATATACCCACCCATTATAAAACGACCGCCAGGGAGGCCAAAGAAAAAATGTATGCTTTTTAGGGGGGAAAAAGTGCAGTTAATTCGTTGCGGACGTTGTCAACGCATGGGGAACCACAACAAGAAGACATGCAAATAACCAATTTAGCATACCGAACATCGACGCATCTTTTAAGTTTTGGAAGTTATAAACACTTATCGTAGTCTGAACTTTTGCACCATTAATAATGTTGTGCCACCTCGACAACACCTACCACATGGTTATGTGTTTGTTTTTCCCGTTTACGTGTTTGATTTTTATAAATATTTGCAAATAAAGGTATGTCACACATACCTACCTGTCCTCTACTTTACGAACATTTTTCAACTCCTGTGTGCATCACACAGCCTTCTTGTCTTGTCACTCACAATAATGTCTTGTTCTACATTACAATCATTTCTCAATTTTCACATACCATTTTTACATTCAAATGCTTATTACAGGTCATTTCATTTCATTGTTGTGCGTTTTTTTATGTTTCCTACTTTATTTATTAACGCATTTTACCTCGTCACTTTTATGGCATACAAGGAACATTTCATGTAGTACTTCGTCATTGCCAAACGTTTTCTTACACAACAATGAAGACCATATCAACTTGTGTTTGTTTGTCCGTTTACATGCTCAATTTTCGTGCAAATTTTACAAACAACACTATGTAACACATATCATACCCGACCATTTAACTATCAACACTAATGTATTGTTCTTCTCAATAATTCCTTGTCGTCAATTACAACCAACTCTCATTTTTATACGTAACAATTACATCCAAACCCTGATTGCAGGTCGTCCCCATCACAATGCTTACTTTAACTGCATTACACTTCGTGTTTGTGTGTTTTTAAATGCTTCCTATTTCATTTCCAAACATACTTCGCCTCGCTAATTGTTTGTCATAAAATGCAAGCGTCCCTCCACTACTTCGTCATTACGACATGTTTACTTACACAACAATGAAAAGCATATATGCCCATATTATCGGGCCATTAACAAACAATAACAGTCTCCACATCAATGGCCAATACATTGATTGTTAAGACATCACATAACCACAAAAACCATGTTCGCATATTCACATAAGTCATCCACAAATAAAACAACATTACGCCCACCAACATAAACACATCTGAAACCCACACCGAAACACACAACAAACATAATGTGCATCCAAAAACGTAATTCTTATTAGACTTTCCCAAAGCCATATTTACCGACACACAGCAACCCAAAAATAACTAAGCATGCCAACCGTGTATCAACGTCATAAATAACACTAAACTATAATTTGGCACATCTTGTGCACATAACAAAAACAAAAAGCATAATCAAACTTCTAAAACCAAAAATAAAGTTTTCGATGTTAATATTAACTTCCTACTTTCAAAAAGACATTGTTATAGCAGCTTCACATCTTCAATCTTTCGGCCCCATGACCGGATCATTGATGAACCCCTTAACCATATTCGCTCGTAAAACACAGCCATTGTTACCTTGCAGAGAACGGCCCACATCCGCATGGTACACGTACTGCCTCATAATAGCACAGACAATGACTGCACAATCTAGCCTGCGCAGAGGGTGGGTGGAGGGGGAAAGCAAATAATATAATGTCAGTGTGACAACCATCAATATTCCCAAAAAAAATAAAAAAATCAATCTATCTGGTTGCTGTAACAAATTTAAATATACATACGAGTCCGCTTTCTGTTGGGGGTAGTTTGCAACAGCTTCCAAAGGGTGGTTAAAAGTTTCCGCAATGCTCATCTCGTCTATCCCATCCTTACGTAACGATCCCTTCATGACATTTGACACACGCTCTTTCTGTCACACAACAAATTAACCAAACAAATTACATACATAATTATTTTTATTCATCACCCATTCCCAACCAACAAAATTCATAATCAAATGCAACGTTGACATTACCAAAACAAGTGCTTCATTGTAATGCACATCTGTTCGAACTGATGAATGTTGTCTCATTGGATTAAAATGTTGCCAACTTCCATCCTCCATGTCACACACCACAACAGTCCAGTGCGTGTTGTGGTACACAGGAAAATGTATGTATCAACATTCCTTCGATGCTGAAAAATTTTTCAGCACATACTTCTCAACTGACTTCATGTTGTTGTTCCGCAACATGTCCTGCAACACAGCCAATTCATACGCATTTAACAGTTCACACAATACTATGCTGTTTACCAACAAGACAAAATAACTAACCATGCACACACTGCTAAAAAAATACGATTTGTCAACCACATCTTCCCCCCCCATCAACCTTTGACTGGTTCATAAACAACATTTCTGCATACGCATCAATCACCTGTCACAACATCTCACCATGTTCAATACACATTGACCACAATCTCACAGGATTTTAATACCACAACTATAGGTTATATTCATACAACAAAAACAAGTAAAATAAAAAACAAACAAAACAAAACATCGAACCCAACTTACATTGCCACGCAGGCTGTCCCCCCGTATAAGATCTTTAACATCAGTGAAGTAAACAACAACACCACTCGACTTGCCAGCCCACATTATAGCCCTACACACAAACCACACAACAAATCAACATAATGATGTTAAAAAAAATTAAACACAAAAACATGGCTAAACACAAATGCATACCCGTCACCATCCTACTCGTACGCTTTGGTTATTTTTGTTTTTTCGTCTGTCGTCATCATTTTCCAAGTCCCAAACCGGTTGTTCATGTCAAAACCAGACCACTTCTTCTCAGGAAGCACAACGGTTTCCACATCAACGACGACATCATTCACACTGCATTTGTCACTGACCCCAATAGCATCCACGTGTGTACCAGACTCTCTCCCACGCTCACAAGCCAAAGGATACTCATAATCTGACAATTTTCGTTCTTTTCTGACTTTGTTCTTGATGTTGCGGACGAACGAATTGTGTATACCCATACCTTGGACGCCTTCCACCATGTACAGTACAACTTCCATTTCAGTATCTGACACATCTACAGCACTTGGTCCACAAACATTCACCGGGCTAGAATCTGATAACGTGTGTACGAGAGCAAATGCTTGTTCAGCATTTTCAGTTTTAGCAGCTACAATCGGCGTGACATCGTGAACCACCGTCCCACCAATCCCACTTCCACCAAAAAAGTTAACCCCATCATCATCGCCAGTGTTAACGTTACGGTACGCTTGCGTAACACAGTGAACCTGTTGATCAGCCAGCTAATCTTCAAGTACTGATATTGCCTCCCTCAATTCCTTATTTTCAGTTGTCAACTTATGTATTTCATCATCCTTTACCTTCAACACACACCCGAACCCGCTAACAATGTTGATAGCTTGTATCTCCAATTTTTTCCTCAAATTTTCAACTTTTTCCTCCAGTTTTGTTATTGTAACATCTTTGTTTTTGTTTTGCATTTCAAGTGCTGCATTTGCATTCAACGCATCCTCCAGCGCTGTTGCATAACCAACACCTCCCTTCAACGAATGTAATTCGCCACGCGTATCACTATCCTGCCCCCCCATTACAGTCCCCACCGCATACCTCACGCCAACCCCACCACCACTACCACAAAGAACATCCTCTGACAGCCCTACATTTCCCTCCCTCAAGCCCTCATTTTTCCCACTTTTCACTGCTTCAGCTTCACCACAACCAGGACCATTGTTTAACGTAGTGTCATTTATTTTTTCTCCATTCCCACCCTGTACTTCAATGTCTGTTGCCAACATGTCACGCTCAAACTCCAACGACCTCAACCGGTCGACACGTACCTGTCCAGGTCATACCACACATTAATATAACTTACAACCAAATATAAAAACATATAACCCAATACATGTACAGATACACAAACCACAACCAACTATGTATAACGTACCTCGAATTTGCCTGGTGCAGCAAAATCAAAACCCCGTGACTTGGACAGCAAATTCCCTATATCCCATTTCAGGAACCGAGGGAATATATTCTCTGTTTCGGGTTTACATATTGTTGAATGTTTACAAAACCAGTACTGCATGGCAAACAACCAAGTTAACAGAACAGTTACCTACATACAACAACCCACAACATGATAAAATAATTAATGCATACATATAGGGATAACTGACATACCAACAAGGCGACCACACATCCGGTCACCTTCTCTGGCGTACGGTAGGAATCTTTGATCGAACCCATCAGTGTTTGCAATATTGCCCCGGTCCAATCATACGTCCGTATATGATGCAAGTCATCAATATGTCACACAAAGGCCTAACTTATCGTCTCACCTGAATTGGAAAAAAATAATTTCCCACACATATACAGCACTAGCAATTTCCCCGTGTCCTCTTTGTCCACTCGAGTCCGACCACGCACAGCTTCTTCAAACAACGTTTGTACCAGCTTCGAGGACATACAAACGGCGTTGTGGCATCTACGTTGTACAAAATCCGATACCGGCCTTTGGCAAGGAGACAAATCAAGGCGCCTAATCCCGCATTGTATTCCAAATAACAGCCTTATGTCACCTCTACCAATTTTCACATCCTTCTCACCAACCTTGAATGCGTTACACTTTTCATCATATGTCTGAATAATCTTCGATACAAGCTCATCGTACTTTCTAAAACTATAATGATTGAGCTTGTTAACACGGATTGCCTCGATCGTTATCCAAAAAGGAGTTCTTCTCAACTGTTCGAAATGACCCGCCCTCAACGGGGACATTGTCACAATCTTCACAATGCCCACAATATTCGAACGAAAATTAATCCGTGTTGTCGCAGTGCGTGGCACTACAACTGCAACTTTGCCATTCGCTTCGCTGCCGGCATTATTAATGACCTTCGTCTGCTTAAACAATATGCGACCCTGCATCTTGTTCACACCCATGTTGTTCATCTTCGCCCCCCTCCCCGCTCCATCAATTCATTTTCACTCACATGAACGTGTCCACGGGCTTCGTTGAATGTCAGTACCTGTAATACAAACAAACAAAAATTAAAAACCTACTCAACAAAACACAGCATACGTCAACCAAACGTAAAACACACACATTACCACACTACGCGGTCCGACAACAACTACTTCACCCCAATGCA